GTTGCTCCGCTTTTTGGCTGGAGAGACGGTTCCTCTTCTCATTAAGCACATGAGATGCTGCACTGAAGAGTCTCTCACCGCTGACATGCTTTGTCGTTCATGGGAGACGCGTGATATAACAGCTCCAGCGTGAGTGAAACCTAGCCTGTGCTGCGCCAGGATATGATGGGCGGGGCAGGGCGGGGCATTTTCGGCGAGTTTTTTTTTATTCCGGCCCGAAATAAAAATGGCCTTTTCGGCCAAAAATTTTCGGTGGCCGAAATTTCGGTGCACCCCTAGTTATTATAGCTATTATGTTTTAGCTTGACCTGACCAAAACCATGAGTTGGAGATAAGCATTGTATAAGTTTCAGTAGTACAGACATTAACATTTCACACAGCTGATTATCTGAATATATTTGTCTTTATCCAGGTGAACACCAGCAGCCCAATTTCCCAGGTCTCACAAGAGGTCTAGTAGCTGTCCTGCTCTACTGGGATGGAAAGCTTTGTGTGTCTAACTCTCTGCGCACACTCATCCAGTCACGCCATGGCAAGACCTTCACCCTGGATCTAAGGTAAGAACTGGACAATGAGCATGCAATGACAAGTGCTTTAAAAAGGTTCCCTTGATGAACATGTTACTGTTCTATTGTTTTTAAAACATTTATTGTGCATCTATTTGTGTTCTCACTTAGTGGCGAGCTAGTGGCTTTGACAACACGTTTTACAGATGAACTGATGAGCCAGGGTCTGACCAAACGTATTCTAACGTTGGTCTCCGAGATCAGTGTGACGCGTGAGTTTGAACGGCTGCAGAAGGAGCGCGGCCTGGGCAATGAAAAGCACAGGAAGGAGGTGGGAGAAAAGTTTTTGTTGTACTTTGAAACAAAGATAATCTTCAGATTATATTAGTTTTTAGTCATGCCAGTGCAACACCAGTAGCTTTCTGGTAGTAACTGAAGTAGAAACATGTAGTGGAGGATTACACAGAGAGGAATATGGACAACATCTAATGCTCTCTCTACTGGCTTCAGGTTTCTGACCTCATCAAAGAATGCAGACAGGCACTGGCAGACAGCCTGTTTTCATGGACGTGCCAATCACCTTTGACTAAAGATGACACACTGGCTCTCATTGGCCACCTGGAGACAGTGACAGCTCAAGCTGATGGCTCACTGGACAGTGTGAACCTGGCTCTGGTCATGGCACTGCTATACTGCTTGGATGTTAGCTTTGTAGAGCAGGGAACTGAAGATAGAGAAGGTGAGAAGATGTTACTGACATTTTTAACTATGTTATAGGTGCAATATTTTTACATTTCATTAGTTACTTGTTAAATTAACTAAACACTTCACTATGTGCTGCTATGCACAAGACTGTTGTTAGTTTCATTGTTTTTCTTTGACTGGGGTGAAGGACCATCTCTGTGTTGTGTTTCTGTAGATCTTCTCCAGGCACTGCCGTTACTCACAGAGAGACAGTATGTGTCTGCAGTGCACAGTCGTTTGATGGACAACCAGCCATGGAAGCTTCCAGGCCTTCAGGCTGTGTGTCGGCTGGCCTGGGCTCTGTCTCTGAGGGTTCTTTCCCAGCTACCACAAGGATCTGGTAAGGACGACTTCTTGGACATGCATTAAATCTCTCTTATCCCTCTTTGAAGAAAGCCTTTTTGTACAAATATGAGTTCTCCAAGATGGTAGTCATTTAAATGTAGTTTATTTGTATTTTTGCATTGTGCAGCCCTGGTTGAATTCACTGAGGCAGATGAGGCTCTGGCTGACCAGGCTTTGCTGGGAGATGTGTTTTTGTTCATGAAGGAGGGCATGCTGGGATGCGAGAGTTTTTCCCAGGAAGAGTTTTACATCCGCCGCCTCCATTCTCTTATTACTGACTTCCTGGCACTCATGCCAATGAAAGTGAGAGATTTTTACTGAAGTAAATTGTATCAAGACATTCTCCAGTTACTTTGCATCTTTCATGCTTGCCTGAGTTAATATATGTGTCCTTGCTGTTTTTACAGGTGAAGCAGCTTCGTAACCGTGCTGATGAGGACGCCCGTCTGGTGCACATGTCCCTACAGATGGACAGCGAGCTTCCATCATCGTTGCGCAAGGACTTAGACCATCTCCTAATTCTCGTCAGTGATTTTTACAAACACATGCGCATGTACATACACATATCAGCATATTTGCATTACGTCACGTTTAATGTTTAATGGGTTTCTGATGATGCTGTATTATCCAACATCAGTGTAGTGATAGCAGGACTGAAATAAGCCAGATGTTTTCCACAGTGTTGGTTTCTGCTCTGTCTTCTCAGATAGGAGAGTTTTACAGTAAGGACACTTTTGGGTTGGAGTTGGGTCTGGAGTTCTGGTGTCCCACCGAGTCTCTCCAGCACACGTCCTTGCAGGGATCCTACCTGGGAATGGCGCTGCAAAGGCCTCCACATAAACAAGTAATGGCCATATTTTCTGGACTCGTAAATTTTAAAAAAGTTGTTGTTTAGAACTTCACAATCTTGAGAAAAGCAAATTTTTCCAAACCTTTTATACCTCTGTGCCAGGGACAGCTGTGTAGGGTTGTGTTATATTTTTGGGTTGTCTGTCCATCCCACTGTCGTGACTGCAATGTCTCAGAAATGCCTTGAGGGGATTTCTTCAGATGTGGCACAAACATCCACATGAATTCAAAGATGATGTGAGAAAGCTTTCTATCACTTCTCTGTACTCCTCTGTAAAAATGGTCTCTATGTGAAGACGGCATCAATCAATCAATCAATCAAACTTTGCCAAGTATTATTAAAACACAAGGAATTTAACTCCAGCTCAGTGGCTTCCGATGCGCACAGATAAACTGAATAAAAACCAGATAATATATAAATATTTACAAAAAATGACCTATTTAATATGTAAAATGATTACTGTATTTGCTACATCTGGTTCTGCATATAAACATAGGTTAAGTGTTCATCAGTGTGACGGTCCGGGGAAAGAAACTGTACTTGTGTCTGGTTGCTTTGGCGCACAGTGTCCTGTAGCATTGTCCAGAAAGGAGGGGGGGTTCAAACAGTTCGTGTCCAGGGTGTCTCAAGAAATCTTCTCTGTACTCCTTTTGACCCATGAGCTGGCACCGATGATCTTTTCTGCCGTCCTGACTATCTGCTGGAGTCTGTTCCTGTCCTGTTTGGTTGCCAAAGCAGACAGTGATGGATGAGCAGAAAACAGATTTGATGATTCCTCTGTAGAACTGTATCAGCAGCTCCTGAGGCAGGTTGAACTTCCTGATCTGATGCAGGAAGTACATCCTCAGCTGTGCCTTCTTGGTGACAGTGCTGATGTTGGACGACCACTTGAGGTCCTGGGAAACAGTGGAGCCCAGGAACTTGTAGGTCTCCACTGTGGATATGGTGCTGTTGAGGGGGGCTCCCCAAAAACTCCACTGCCACTTCCACTGTTCCACATGTTCAGGTTGTTATGACTACACCACAGGGCCAGCTGTTCCAGCTCCCATGTGTAGGCTGACTCATCACCATCTTTGATGAGATGATGACCGTTGTGTCAAATGCAAACTTCAGTGGAAAATGTTCACTAGAATCATAGAGTATAGTGATAACTTCTATCTTCTCAAAAAATACACTTAATATATCTCATTAAATTAATTCAAAGTCTTCACTATATATATTAAATTGGCCTGGACAGACATGCATGTAAACAGAAACTAGACTGGTTGTTGGAGACCTACAACGGTGAGGCAGTAATTCTAGTTTCTTTGTTTTTCTTTTTCTCTGCTCTGATGCAGGTGGTCCTGTCCAAGTTTGTGCGTCAGATGGGAGACCTTCTGCCTTCTACTCTCTACATCTCTTATCTCCGTATGCTGAAAGGCCTGGCCAATGGCCCTCAGTGTGCTCACTACTGTTTCAGCCTGCTTAAAACCAATGGAGCCACACACAGTAAGAGCAGACTGTGCAAAACCTCAGGAATACTTTTTCTGAGATTGAAGAAAAATATACATTTCAGAAATTGACACTGTGGAACATTTGGTGCCCAGCTTTGAACTTTTGGTGTGCAGCCTTTTGGAAAGAGTAACTGAATAGATTTTGTCGTAATCTATATTTTGAATTTCTGCCGGTAGATGACTGACTTTGGGTCTTTTTTACACTGGAAAAACTTGTAGTTTTATTTGAACACATACCCAAATGACAGCCACTTAACTATGTTTGCAGGTGACAACATTCAGGGAGTTTCAGGCAGCCCGGTGTCCTGGGAACATTTTTTTCACTCACTCATGCTCTACCATGAGAACCTGCGAAGAGACCTTCCAAATCCAGATGCCTCACACTACCGCCACCCACCACTAAGGGGCATCACCCAACGGGAGCTGGAAGGGCTCACCTCATTTTTGCAGTTACTCACCACCATCATTACATGGGTATGCAACAATGTTCACTAAGACTATGTTCACACTGCAAGCTGAAGTGACTCAAATCCGATCTTTTTGCCCAAATGTGACCCATATCCGATTTCCTTATGACAGTGTGAACAGCACAAATCCGATTTTTTTCAAATCCGGCCCAGGCCACTTTCATATGTGGTCCTAAATCGGATACATATCCGATGTTTTGCAATGCGACTTCAGTCTGAACGGCCATGTCGCATTTCATGCGATTTTTATGTCATTGAAATGCGACAGACGTCACAATTCTGCGCTGGAGGAGGCGAGGCCATAAGCAATATTTGTGCTCTCCTCCTTCTTGACGTTCTTCTTCTTATTATTTCTTTATTTCGATTGCACATTAACTGGTACATCGCTATGCACATGCTATCACGAGCTGTATCCATTTTTATTTCCGCAAACACAGCACGCTGTGTCTGACGTCATGTCCTCTTCTGCGCATGCGGGTCACCTCAGGGCCGTATACTGTTCACACATGAGACGGATGGCAGTCGCATTTAAATGACAGTGTGAACAACAGCGCAAAAAAATCGGATTTCGGCAAAAAATCCGATCTGAGCATTAAGACCTGCAGTGTGAACGTAGTCTAAAAGGCAGTGATATTTGATTTTGCGCTTATATTAAATGGATCATAAAACCAAATAGTATTCAAGATGAATGTGTGGTCAATTTATTTTGAATTTTTTATGTTCACCTTGCATCTTGGAAAACTCATCAGGTGGTTGAGAGTGTTCCTGTCTAATTGACCTGGGGTGTTCTGTGTGTGAATTATTATTATTATTATTTTTTTTTAAACCCTAGAGTGAAAATGCGAGACTGGCACTATGTGAGCATCCCCAGTGGACCCCAATTGTAGTCATGTTGGGGTTGCTACAGTGCAGCATTCCTCCTGTCCTGAAGGCTGAGCTCCTACACTGCCTGGCAGCCTTTGGGAAGTCACCAGAGATCGCTGCATCACTATGGCAGTCCCTGGAGTACACCCAGGTTAGGCTTTAAAAATTCTGCTAGTAAATAGCTGAGGTGGTCTATGTAAAAGCATCTTATGATTTTAAACAGATTACGGTTTGCTAGTGACAGTTGTCATATGAAGTTTCTCAAATGATAACAGGTGATTATCAGCCCTTTTGTCACCCTTGTCCTGAACACTTGATTTTTGTGCAGTTCTAATGTTGTTTTGCAGCTTGTGGTGTTAGAATTGTTTTTGTGTCAGATTTGTTAACAATTGCAGCTTGTTATCCTGCCCCAGATCCTTCAGACTGTTCGAGTCCCAGGACAGAAGCAGGCAGCTGGAATTGAGGTGAGTGAATCTGAAGTTTAATTCTCCCTTCTCAACCTAGTTTGAAAGGGTCTGTCTTTTTTGTCAGCTTTAAGATGGGCAAATTAGAAGGCCTAATAGCTGGTAAAGAGACCAGTTAGACCAATCAGAGCTGCAAACAAAGCATGTTGTTGTGATACAAGTAACAAATACTGGCTTGGAGATAAGTTATCTTTAAATAATATGTTGTGTTAAAATTAGCACTATTAGCAAAATTCTGTTGATTAGTGTTTTATGTGCAGGCTCTGTCATCAGTACAAAACTAGAAATTAACTGAATTTAATCTGTCATCACTGTAAAAACTTCTTGTTCATTGGCGATATAAAAAATCTGTAAGGAGCAAACTTTCTGATGGGTTTTCTCGGCTCTCAGGTTGAACTAAATGAGATTGAGTCGAGCTGCGAGGAGTACCCTCTGACACGAGGCTTCTGTCATCTGATGAGCATATTGGTTGAGAGCAGCCTGCCTGTTAATTTGGGGGCAGGGCTACGAGTTCCAGGCTTCCAGCCCTACCTGAACTTCCTACGTGACTCTGTCTTCCTTCCTTTTCCCACTAGAGCATATCGACGTCCCGCTGAGAAGGTAAACTGCTGTGTAGTGCTCTCCTGATGTCTTTACAAGTTCAAGCTCCTTGAACTACACATGAAACTGTTTATTTTTATTTTGCCTTTTCCTTTGCTGTCTCTTAGTGGGAGGTAGCTGATTCTGTCCTGGAGGTGTTCCACAAGCTACTGCGGGACTACGAGCCCCAGCCGACAGACTTTGTCCAGGAGATGGTGGAGCTGCAGGGTGAGCAGGTCCAGGCCTACAAACCTCCAGGCCACAGCATCATGTTCCATCTGCTCAACGATTCACCCATGCTCGTACTCTGCCTTAGCCTGCTGGAGGAGGGCGTACGCCAGCTGGACACCTATGCACCCTTTCCTGGTGAGAGAATGTGCAGCTACTGTCAGGGAAGGAGAGATCCTATGTGGTTGTGTGTGTGCTTGTGCTGATGACACCCTCCATTACTGTCTCCTACAGGTAAGAAGTACTTGGAGTCAGCGGTGCTGCACTGCCTCTGTCTGCTAGACCTGGCTCTGCAGAAGGAGGCAGTTTTCATGGATCTCCTCAGGGAGAGCCAGGCCTCACTGCTGGTTTCCCCCTTGGAGCAACTCCTCCAGGGGGTTAGTCCTCAAACACGAAGGGCCGATCACATCGTCAATATTGCCAGGTAAGAACATCCAGGTGGTAGGGTAAACTGTGGTTGTAATTTTTGTTGAATCAGTTTTTGTCTCTTGTGTCTATCCTTTTTGCATCTGTCCACTTTATAATTAGTAGACCTCAGTAGAACTAATAGTAGGTTAGGTATCAAGTCATTATATTCTTTGAAAGGCTGATCATCTCAGAATGGGCATAACTTAGTGGGGAGCCTTGTTTGTCCCTGTCAGGTATCTGTACCACAGCAGCTCAAACCCAGAGGCTGCCTTCCAAAGTGCCAAGATCTTGCGTTGCCTTGCTAACTACCCCAACATTCAAATTAGATTGGTGGGAGATTTCACACACAATCAGGTATGTGCAAATCTGACATTTACACTTTAAAGATAACTTTACCATTTAAACAGTTTTGCCATCTATAGTAAGCAGCTTGAAGCCTGAGAAATATTTTTATTTCAGTCTCAAGCCTCTGCATTAAGTCATACATAAACCCCAAAGTTTGTTTTTGTTTCAAAAATATATATTGCTTTGCTGTACAACAGTATGATGTACAAACTTGAGTCTAAATGAACTTTTTGCATCTGTGGCTCAGGCTGTGAGTGAAAAGCTGATGGCAGGCTTTGTGGAGTGTCTGGACAATGAAGAGGCAGAGGAGGGAACGGAGAAAGGCGATGGTGGGAGAGCTGTTCCTTGTCTTTGTGATCTTTTGTGTTTGATTTAATTCCTGCGGTTTCAACACAGTGAAATCTAAATATGTGTATTAACACACTGTCACTTAACTGTTCATCTCTAGACTCAGACTCACAAAAGAAGGTGGCAAGAATCCGACATGAAACCCAGATTCATATCCTGAATCTGCTCATCACCTCCTTGGAGCTGAAGACGCCCAATCTGGCCCTTTATCTTTTAGGTTTTGAAGTCAAGAAGCCTGTGTTGTCCACTAACCTTCAGGACCCAGGTCAGGTTCTGGCCTTAGGAGCTGACATGTTGCATTTGGTGGCTGTTGTGATTTTAGCATCATTTTTGGGTTCTGGGACAGATAGAAATAAGGATCAGATGAAGTGATATCTCTTTGAGGACTGGAGGACATGAATGTTCACTGTGTCGTAGGTGTGTTGGGGTGTCCACGGAGCTGCCTGCACGCTATCCTGAGTTTGCTGCAGAGAGGCACAGAGAAGAGATCAGGACCGGTACTCACACAGCAGGCACCGAACCTAGCTGAGCTCTGCTACCAGGTACTGTTCATCCTCTGCTCAGAGTAGCACATTAACTGTTTTTTTTTTTTTTTTTTTGGATGAATAGGATGAATGTGTGCATGGAATAAATGTGTGGGCTATCTGCATATTCAGATTACTTGTACTTGTTTCAGTGTTTCTCTCATTTTGTCATTCCTTAGGTGATCTACCAGCTGTGTGCTTGCCCAGACACATCTGGACCCACCATGCGTTATTTGAGGACCAGCCAGGACTTTCTGTTCTCTCACCTGCAGCACCTACCGTTTATTCTGCCGAGTGAGTACAGGATCCCCATATGGTAACAAAATCATTAGAGACTTGATAAGACAGAGGAAAATAGGAAAGCAGGAAATTCAGGACCATTAATAGGCATTAGTGGTTTTATTGTATCCCTGCTGAAACGGGCTGATAAATTGAAAAATTGTAAATAAAAATAAAAAACAGGAAATAGAAGCAATGACAAACACCTTTAATTTTGCAGACATCTGTATGTCACAGAAAAAAAAAAGTGCAAATTGTTGGTGTAAATGCAATGACAGTAATTGTCTTTTCTTATTGCCTCAGGTAACCAGATCGCTGCCCTTTCCCAGATGTCCTGGTTGATGAAAACAGCTGCAATCGAGCTGAGAGTGACCTCACTGAACCGTCAACGTTCACATACACAACGTCTTGTCAGCCTCCTGCTAGATGACCAACCAAACACTCAACATTCAGGTACTGGACGTGTTGTCAGAGGTGTTTGTAAGTGCTTGAAATGTCTTAAAATTCTCCAGCATAAATTTTTGTGATGCAAGCCTGTAATCGTTGGTGTTTTTAGTGGATAAGTACATGTTCAAATTTATGCGCAAGTAAAAAAACAAAAAATTTTAATGTTCTTTCCTGGAAACTTAAAAAACTAGAATGACTTCTTTAAAGTTCTGTGCCTTCGCAAACCAGTCAAATTCCTGGGAATGAGCTCACTGACCTTGACCTTTGACCACCAGAATCTGATAACTTCATCCTTGAGTCCCAATAGACACTTGTGCCAAATTTGAAGAAATTCCCTCAAGTCGTTCTTGAGATATTGCATTTACAACAATGTAATGAATAGATGGACAATCCAAAACTATAATGTCTCCTGCTGCGGTTATTGGTGGTGTGGAGGCATAAAAATTTTATTTACCAATACTTACAGATAGTCAGAATGTACAAAAGTAATGATCACACAGTTAAGCTTATTAATGTATGAACTGAAGAACCTCATTGTTTGTTTGTTTGTTTGTTTGTTTATTTATTTATTTATTTGTTGTTTTATTTTTAGGGAATCGGGCATGGAGGAAGAAACCAGATCGGTCAGCGGTTTCCTGCATTTTGACACAGTATCTAAAGGTCTGTGGCATTTTAGTACACAAATCAAATATTAACTAAATATGATTAGCAGTGGAGCTTTCTTCAGTGCTCGATGTTCGAGTCAACATTTAATTCTCTGTTTTTTCTTTTAAGTGTGATATCAGATTGTTTTTACTTTTATCCTCATCTTGTTTTTGTTTGATGTCATCAGTGCGCAGAAAGTTGCTGAGTGTGCTGGACGCCATTGATTTCAGTCAGGACATGCCTGAGCTGCTGCAGCTAGACTTTTTTGAGCGCACTCAAATAGAGCAGGTGATCTCCAACTGTGAGCATGTCAATGAGCAGGGACACACTGTGTGCAACGTTAAGGTGGGTTTGTAAGTTGAACATGTAGTCTTTTCTTTCTCTGACGTGTCGTTTCAACAGTTTTTCATGTGGCCCTTCACTGATTCCTTCATGTTTTCCTCACAGTTACTTCATAGAGTGTTGGTTGCTGAAGTGAATGCACTACAAGGAATGGCAGCCATTGGACAGAGGCCCCTGTTACTGGAGGTCAGTGAACTAAAACTAATCCAGTTTCTTTTATGTATAATTTCTTATGCAGTTGACTATAAGTTTTGAAATGTGGGTTCTAACTATTATTAACATTTTGAAATTACTCCCTTTTACCAAACTCTGTTGACTCACTGTTATTCACGTTTGTTTCCATCACCAATGCTTTGAGTCCTGTGAAAATAAAAATGGGAGCAAAAAATGTTTTCCATATAGTCATTTCAGTCATTTGGGTGTACTCCTCCAGGAGGTGAATTCAATCCTTCAGCAGGTGGTGGAACGGAATCGCGTTCGTCGAAGTCTCAGTGCAAAGCGACATGCGCTGCAGTCCTGGAGAAGCCTGGTGGAGACGCTGCTGACTGCTTGCCCTGCTGATCTCATACCTGCTGATGACAGACAGCTCATCATCAGAGATCTTCTGCTAGACCTGCACGATAAGGTCGCATAGAGGGTGAAACTATTGTAGCCATAATAGGACATTTTGCTGTTTGAATGTAGGAATTCATTCAAAGTTTTGGCAAGGCACAACTGAAACCAGTATCATAGTAAGAACATCTTAAGGGTGTTAAGGATTTCATTCAGAGCTCATGTGTATTGAATGACTCAAAGTAATGAAAAACATGAAGGAAGTTCATGCAAGAGTTCATATAACAATTAGCCCAAATCTACAGATTGCTAAAAGAACTAACTAAAAATGTTGTCTTGCATAGTCCAGGTGTTATCTGAGGATGCAGCAGGAGAACTGATGCCCATTGTTGCTGGGGCAGTCTTCACTCTGACAGCCCATCTCAGCCAATCAGTGCTGTCTGAACAGCAGCAGGGGGTGGGATTAGAAGCATCCTCTGGCTTTGCCTCCATCGCCAACTCTGCCCTGCACCTGATCCTCCGCAAACTTCTGGACTTCATCCTTTGTACTGGTTGGCAATGACATAAAACCCTTTTCAGTCATAAACCCTCATTCCCCACATGGAGTGCGTTGTCAGATTAGAATGTATAATATTGTGTTTTGCACTCGAAGGTGGTGGATACCAGCGTCTCCGTGCTCACCTGTATGGCTCTCTACTATACTACCTTCAAATTGCCCAGAAACCCGAAGAACCAGACACTCTGCAGACAGGTACAGGAAAAAGTCTGGAAAATATGCAGAATTAATTTTGATAATTTAAGAACCTCTTGTTAGAAGTTGTCAGGATGTTGCAGGTCAGTGTTTTACAGATTTTTATGTATCATTTAAATAAAATCTCACTCCATCCCCCTCCAGCAGGGAAAGCAATGTGGGAGCGCCTCACAGCTCCTGAAGATGGTTTCTCCAAACTGCAGAGAGAAAACCTTGTTATAATTGAGAGCTATGGCAAGGCTCTTATGGAGGTTGTATGTAGAGATGCTTGTGATGGCCATGAAATTAGCAGGGTAAGAACCAAACCATCCACTTTTTAAAGTGTGTGGCCACATTCAGGCTCATGTTGATATTTTTATTTTACATATTACATTTTGAATACCATTTATCAAAGATGCATCAGTTTTCTAATGAATGTTCTGTCAAATACTATATTATGTCCCATCAGCATTTGGAGTAATACTTTTATTACTGTATCACACATTTTATGACAAATACCTTTATATTTTATTGTCCTAGCGTTGCTCTTTGTATGTGCTTCTTTTGTTATCCCTTTCTCCTCCTTTGGTCTATCAGATGTTGGCCCTGGCAGTACTGGACCGGATCCTGACCATAGACCGTCAGAATCAGTGGCTGGTTTATGTTTGCAACAGTGGTTACCTGCGGTCAGTGGTGGAGAGCCTGAGACTGGACGACATTGCCCTGCAGAGCCTGCTCACACCTCAGCTACCCCTCCTCAAACCCCTCTATATCTACGAGAGCAAGATGGTGAGGGTGTCATTAAAGAAACTGTTTTGTGCAAGGATCTTCAGAGGTCCTATAGGACCAGAAGTGTCTGCCTAAAAAGCTCGTTAAGTAATTGATGAAGGCACAAACCTTGCTGTGTGTTTTCAGGCTCTGCTGACTCGTGTGGCTAAGACTGGCCAGGGAGCTGTAGAGCTGCTACGCTGTGGCGTGGTGGCACAGCTGATTGAGTGCCAGGTGTTTGATATGGTACCTGAGAGCGATGTACATAGGTATGGATGTTGATGTGCTTTCCTGTAATGTATATTGAAAGAAATGAGAAGCTGAAGTAAAAGACTTAACCTTCTTTTTCACTTTTCCAGAGCTCAGTTGTGTAAATGTACATTTATCTTTCTTTGAATTTGTGATTGTGTCCTTGTGGTCTTCAGAGTGATGAGGGACCCTTCAGGCTTCATCCCGAGCCCTATGGACCGCTACAGGCAGATTCTTTTACCAACCCTGAGGCTCTTTCAAGTGATCCTGACATCTACCACCATGAATCACCAGCAAGGGGCAGCACAGGTAAGCACAGAAGGTTGAATTCTGACCTGATCTGATTTTTAGAAACATTTTACCCTGAAAATCTTAAGTCAGTATGTTTGTAATTAATACAGTCCATCATTAAATGTTGCCTCATCCCTTCTCTGGCTATGTTAAGATTGTATCGTTGGCAACTTGAATTTACACTATCAGAATGCAAAGAGAGTTCAGTGCATGGGATTGTAAACATTTCATTATAAAATAATGTTCATGTTTGTGAAAGTTACAAAAGTTTTATAAATGTTGCATCTACAGTCTAATTATTTGATAATGCTGTATGTGTGTTTGTAGGTTCTCCAGTGGCTAATTGTTCATGGAGACACAATTCAGTCCCTGTTGCGCTGTCAGGAGCTCAGTATGGGAGCTTTGCAGGAGCTCTCTTTGCTTACTGGCATCATCAGTAAGACAGCTCTGCCAGGTGCAAAGATAACCAAGCTGAAAGTGACTTTACTTTTTTAATTCAGCTTGCTATGTGTTGTTTTTCCACATTTTCATCCAAGCCACATGTTGGTGACTAAATGAATGGTGGTGTTTATGAACTGCTTGGTGTCTTAGGTGCCCTAGAGACGAGTGGGGAGGTCAGCAGTGCTGCTGTAATGGAGTTCCAGGGTCACATCAACAGATTCCAGGTTGGACAGCTGGAGCTGTTTTTGTCATCTCTAAAATATATAAGTTTTAACTGTCTTCTTCTCTATCCTCCCAATTGTGCTTTCACTTGGTAATGTCTGTTTGTTTTTGTTTTTTTTGTTGTTTTATTTTTAGCGTCTGTGTCTCTCATTGCTTGGTCGTCTGGCAGGCAGTGAGCGGGAGAGGTTGCTAAAACAGGCTGAGATCGCTGCACCTGGTGACTCAGCAGAACAGCGAGAGCAGATGGAGGTGGCCATGCAACAGGTTTGGGGAAAAAAAGAGTGCTATAAATGGAGTAATACAAAATTAATATGGGTGAGACAGCACATGTGGATGGGTGAATGTGTAAAGTGCTTTGTCCAGGTATGATAGAAAAGCACTGTATAAGTGCAGTCTATTTACCATTATTCATAGGCTCAGCATTGTCAGGGACCTGAGAGATGCTGTCCTCTGTCCCCAGGTGTGCGCTAACATCATGGAGTACTGCCAAGCGCTGCTGCTACAGAGCTCAGCCCAGGCCCAGTTCAGCATCTGCCTCTTCAGCCCATCAGGCAGTGAACCAGCTGGCAGAGATGGAGGGTGCACAGGTCAGTAATTTGAAAAGGAATTTGACTCAGGTCATGTATACTGTATAAAAAGCCATACTTTTATAGCAATAGCATCGCGTGAAATTCCCTTTTCGGTGTCTGATATCAGTTTAAATGCATATAATCAAATATGCCCCCTTTCTGAAGGCACTTTTAGCTTTTACCACAATTTGGCTTTTTATTTTTGGTAAGTATGAGTCTGAACCATCACTCTAATTTCTTAAAGATCTTTCATCCACTCTGCCATCGATGCCATACTCCCGGGCACCCAGCTTGGGTCTGGTCCTGTACCTGCTGAAAAACAGTGCTGCAGACTTCTTCCGATTCCACCAGTGTCACAGACAGAGCCTAGGCAAGCTGCAGAGCCTGGATCAGCTGCCCCCTGAGGAGCTCAAAGAGGTAATGGTGGACTAATGCACAATCTCACCCTCACCACACTGTTGTACAAATTGGGCAAACTGTATTTTCCTTACAAATGGGGCAGCTGTGGCTCAGGAGGGAGAGCAGCAGTGAGAGCAGCTATGCTGTATGGGTTAGAGACTGTAGCAGTGAGGAAAAGACGAGAGGCAGAGATGGAGGTAGCAGAGATGAGTATGTTGAGGTTCTGTTTAGGAGTGACCAGGATGGACAGGATTAGGAATGAGCACATCAGAGGGACAGCTCAGGTTGGCTGTTTTGGGGACAAGGTCAGAGAGGCCAGATTGAGATGGTTTGGACATGTGCAGAGGAGGGATAGTGGTTATATTGGTAGAAGGATGTTGGAGATGGAGCTGCCAGGCAAGAGGTCAAGAGGAAGGCCAAGGAGGAGATATATGGATGTGCTAAAAGAGGACATGACGTTAACTGGGGTGAGAGTAGAGGATGCCGAGGATAGAGTTAGGTGGAACAGATGATTTGCTGTGGTGACCCCTAATGGGAACAGCCGAAAGAAGAAGTCCATATGATGGATTTTAAAAGTAAAGGTAAGCAAAGACATACCTAATGAGTAGTTTTTTAATTTAAACATCATGGCCCCGTCATGGTTTGTCTCCAGTTCTAACTATAGACATATTCTCTGCAGTTGTGCCAAGGTCTGGTGTCAGGCCCAGGAGGGGTGGAGAAGATCTCATCAGTCCAGAGGAACCTGCTGGCCAAGAGGCGACTGGTCCAGCTCATCAACAACAGAGCCAAGCTGCTGGCCCTGTGCTCCTGTATCCTTTGGGTTCTTCCTAGCACACTTGTACTCATAGCACTAATAGGGTTAGACTGAAGAAGCTTTTTTTGGACCCCTCTCAGCACACCAGAATTAAATATCCATTTATGTCCTATTCATTGTTCAGTCCATGCTTTCCCTGAATTATATGTATTTGTCTTAAGGAGCTCTCTTCAGTAAGGCAGAATAAACACCATGCCACATCATGAGATGCTGTGAAATGCCTTGACCTGCCTCTTTCTCAGATGTTATCGAGACTTGTTTGTTTGTATTGTGGCGCCACCTAGAGTACTACCTGTTGCATTGTACCCCCACTGACCCCAGGGGCTCCCTGTTGCCTTCAGCCAGCTTATACAGATCACGCCTTACAGAGGGTGAGAGAAGATGTTAAAGATATATGCATGTTTATCCCAGGTTTAGATTCAGTTCACTGTAAGTCAGCCTTAGGAAGCCTTTTAACAACACAAACTGTAAGAATGAATTGGATGTGTTTTACAACTGGTTGATGGGAGCAGACTTATCAGTCAGGAGACAGAGGTAAAACTGCTGTTCTTCCCTGGCTGTGGAACTGAATGAATCTAACTTTACTGTAATAATTGTGTGTTTTATAAACCCATTGTCTTCAGATTCATTTGGGGGACTACAGGCAAGTGGAGGTCGTGGACTCGGCCTTTCCCGAGTCAGCCAGCAAGACCTGGACCTGGTAAGAAATTGCAATAAACTGTTGGATGTTGGCAATAAATGTTGCACAGGTTACCCTAATACATTTGTTCTTGAAATGTGTGCTTTGACAAACTTGTCATTAATCATTGTTTGTCTTGACATACACATGCATTGTCTCTACACCTATGGTATTCCTGATCCCTGTGTCTTGTTTGTCCAGCTGAAGAGTGACATGGCTGCAGGTTTCGGAGAGGCTCTGCAGAAGAAGCTGCTGGAGGTGGAGGGCCTGTACAGCCAAGTTCGCTCCCGATACACCTTCATCCAGGCACTGGTTCGCAGGATCCGCGGCCTGCTCCGACAGCCAAAAAGCTGAGAAAGACACACAACAACTGGCGAAGATACAAATTTTCAGTTTCTTATTGAAACCAACCTTCTGCCAAGCATAGGCATGAGCAACTGCAGAAGACTTTAAAGGACTTTCTGGCAACATCATTCCTTTTTACTGACCTGTACCAGCTCCTGAGTATTGCTGGATGTTACTGCCATCACAGCACTTGGTCCATTTTGTGTGACCAGTCTTAATATTGACTAACCTGCTACAAGGGTTACTCAAAAGTAACTCAAAAATTTTTACTTGTTAGGAAGAATTAGAACTTTTCTTTTGTCTGGTTTCTCTTTTGTGAAAATAAACATTTTTAAATCTGTCAAATACTTGACTAATTCACACTCACCATACAACAAACCACCTAAACTATATGGTTTTTTTTTGTGATGGTGTCTGCTGAGAGGCAGGTGGGTAAGTACACCGTTAGTATGACTAGGAAAGTCTCTCAGATAGATGTCAGCAGTTTTCTAGGGTTTAATGCAACACTATTCAGTGTTAACCACTCCTGACAAATTACTGCAGCTATTTGCATGTCTGGGGTGACACATTGTGAGAATCTTATCGGAAGCAAAACATGGAACTAGGGTGTAGTTTCTTTGTGAAAGTAACATTTTGACAAAGTGACAAAACGTGTTTGATTGGATGTGCTAAGATACACACTTAGGCTGTGCGCTTCAGGCAGTAATTTAACATTACAAACAAGCTAAATGCACATACAGCATGTTTAATCTTGTTTTATTTTCTTGGAAGGTACACTTTTAAGACTAAAGTGCATAGTTTCTTAGACCTTCAGGAAGGGGATGAGAAGACAAAAATCTAGATATACTGTACATTCAGGCAGGGAAGTTTTGTGCTCTGGATTATTTTATTTGAATACAGAGGAGGGGACAGTTCAGAGGAGTAAGCACCAGCATTGAGCACAGAGGGAACTCTGCAACTGGGAACCAAGTGAATGAACTCACACTGTGGAAAATATAGGCACATCCCCCCCCCAGTCAGTCCTGCACTGTAACTTGTTTGTCACAATGAAGAACCTAGGTGACACATCTTAGTGGAAAAACATCTGCTCAGCAAAAAATAAAACTTGCCTACTACACTATTGTTTAACAGATCATGCTTGATACTCTATAAATTACTTTTAAATAAAATTAATTACAGCATTAAAAACATTTACACTTCTTGCACCAGCTTTCTATATCTGTGATTGTGCTGCATTTGCATCTAAATAGAAAACTGCCACACGGATAGTGATCCCTGCTCATGTCTTTTCACCTAAACTGAGGTCCACAGCTGTCCTATAGTTAAACTATGCCTTAGCCTCCATTTTGCACATAAATGAGTATCATCCATCATTTACTGTGCTATAATGGAACATCATTCTCCCCTATCCCTGTTATAGGGCATTATGACGTTGGTAGTTACGACATTATAGTCTGGTCAACTGTACAGTATATGTTCAAAATGCACTACAGGGTTGGTACATCTAGTTGCTACATTTTCAGAGGGAGTAGAGAGGAGACATGAGATTATTCAACAACATAATTTTCCCTGTTTTGGATCCATCTTCTCAGGGGGTACTGTAAGTGCTTCAAATCGTCCTTTTTTTCTATGTAATAGAAACATGGACCAGGACTGATTTCTGTACATAAATAACAGTTGAAAGGAAAAGCATACTGTACATGTACACAGCTGAGTTACAGCACCAGCAGACTTTGTTTCAATGGTCCTTTTGTTTTGATTAACATCCTATACAGGATACTATGTGAGTCTGGTGCAGACCATGGGCTTAAGAGGAGTTGACACAAGTCCATGAAGAACAGTGACAGGAAGTCAAACAATCCTGAGGTCCCCTCTGGTCTAGTGCTGATTGTACCAGACATGTTCTTTAGTACTTCAGCACAGCTCTAGCAGTGAATTAGAAGCTCCCTTGTTGCTTTCTGAGAAAATCCAGGAGGAAACATGGAAAGACGAGAGTGACAAGAAAAGGCAGCTTATCCAGCACTTTGTCTTTAAGATTCAAATTCAAGCACAGCATGGAAAGGGCATGTTTGCATTTTGTTTGTGCACTAAACATCTGCACACCCAGTGTTTGTTTTCTGTTTGTTTTGTTTAACAATCCAACAGCAGTTTGCTTGTTGAAAACACATCCTTATGTGCTATCAGTAGCCGCTTCCTGTGTGTTATTGTTGTCCATCATGTGTGCATTGCTTTCGTTGGTCTGAGGGGATTCTGGCTTCTCTCCTGTCACTGCTACGCGAATCACTTTGAGCCAGCGCTGCTTAAGTTCTTCAGTTTCAGCAAAAAAGTTGTGGATGGACCTGGACTGTGAGAGGCGGAAGCTGGCTGGAGGGTCTGCAGGCCGGGCGCTGTCATCCACAGAATAACCCAGAAGAGGGATGGTACATTGGGCCTTTACGTCCTGAGAGAACAGCCAAGAAGAAGAGAATGTCATCACTATGAACGCCTGGGAAATCAACCTATGAGATCAGATTTCTGCTTCGTGCTCCCGGTATTTACCTGCGGAGCTCTGTAGAGG